TATATCTATATATATTTTTTTGGAGAGTTTTTTGCTATAGGGTGCATGAGCTCACCAAAACTACAGAGAGACAGAAAGTGAAAAATCACCTCCTGGGGATATAGCCACGCCACAATCCCTTCTCCTCCATTCTCCTCTCAGGATCTTGGGCACACACGCACACGTGCCCAGCATGAGTCTAAGCCACCTGGTCCAGGACTTTAACTGTGGTAGACCACATGGAGTCCAGCAACATAGCTATTACACCAAGTGCTGGTCCCCCCCAACTCATGTTTTTAAAAGCTTTTTAAAAAAATTTTAGGTTTTTGAACTTTTTTTTTTTTTTACCTAATTAGAAAAGATAAACTGAATTCTTTTGTTTTTTTGTTTTTTTTTTTAAAGAGATTTTTGCTACAGAGTGCATGTGCTCGCTGAAGACACAGAGACAGAAAGTGAGAAATCACCCCCCCAGAGGGGTGGCCAGGCCGCAATCACTCATGTTTTTAAAAGCTTTTTAAAAAAATTTTAGGTTTTTGAACTTTTTTTTTTTTTTACCTAATTAGAAAAGATAAACTGAATTCTTTTGTTTTTTTGTTTTTTTTTTTAAAGAGATTTTTGCTACAGAGTGCATGTGCTCGCTGAAGACACAGAGACAGAAAGTGAGAAATCACCCCCCCAGAGGGGGACGCCCACACTGCCATGCCTTCTCCATTCTCCTCTCAGGATCTTGCCATGTACACACATTCCTGGCGTGATAAGTTGCCAGGTCCATGACTCAAACCGTGGTCGACTGTGTGGGAGTCCAGCAGTGTAACCATTACGCATCTGCTGGTCCCCAAAATGAATTCTTATAGAAAACATGAAAAATATAAACATCGAAGGAAAATAATTGTATAATGGATATACAGAAACTACCATTAACTACTTGTTGGTGTGGTAGTTAAAGGTGCTGGAATCCCACATGGCCAGCCATGGTGTGAGTCCCGGACCTGGCAGCTTGCTTTCTCACTTTCCCTCTCTCATGCTCTCTCTCTCTCTCTCTCGAGTGAGTGCATGTGCCTTATAACAAGTTTAAAAAATAATAATAATAAATAAAATGAACAATTCTTAAGAAAAAAAAAGAAAGAAAAAGAAACTTCCACTATCAGTGTTCATCTAACTGGGAGGTGGGGTGGTGGATGAACTGGAATTTCGAGTGCTTCAGATCTGTCTGTCTGAAATCCACCAGAAAAAGCATCGACTCAAGACTTGTTTTTAATGATGTCGTCATTTTCTTTTTCAGCTTCTACTTTTGCACAAGCACGAGCTGCTGAAATCAGTGCTATGTTAAAAGCCGTGTCCCAGAAGTCTTCAAATTCACTGGTTTTCCAGACTCTGCCCCGGCACATGAGACGAAGAGCCATGAGCCACAATGTCAAGCGCCTTCCCAGACGGTTACAGGAGATGGCCCAGAAAGAGGTAGAGGTTTCCCTTCCTGTGAATGTGTAGGTTGGTAGTTCATAGAGGAAATTGAGAAGAATTTCCATTCAAATGAAGTTTTCTTGACCTAATAGAATTTATTAAAACAAAACCCAGAAAACAACATGTCTATGATGGCATGCTTTTTTTTTTTTTTTTCTTTTTTAGTAGTTTTGGTTCAATCATTACCCAGCTCTCTGCTCTCTCCATAAGTCAAACTGGTGGGTAGTTGTTAGTTGTATATTACAGCTGATTTTAAATAAAGCACTAGGAATCTCACCACCTCCTACCCCACATGTTTTCTCCCCCTGCTTCTAATTTTTACCATAGGGCACACGAAGCACAGCCCATGGGGATGCTCTCCCTTCTCCTCCATGCTGCAATCCCTTCTACTGCACTTTAATCCTTGGGATTTTGGGCATGCATACACATTCAGCATATTTCTCAGCTGCTGGGTCCAGGACTTCAACTGTGGGGTCAGTTGTGTGGGATCCACTTGCCAACACTAGGCCACAAAGTTGGCCCCTCCAGCCCTTTTTGTTACGGTATGTGTGGGAGGGTTTCAGACAGGTTCTTTCTGTGTCATAATTCTGCTTCAGTCTCTGGAGCAGCTGAGACCACTGCCATGTGCCACTGTGTCCAGCGTTTTAGTGGGCTGGGAATGGAGCTCGGCCTCCCCTGTGGCCTTAGCCCACCAAACAGGAGTGTCCAGCCTACACTACCAAAGCTGGGCCAGAATGCCTCTTTTTTTTTTTTTTTAAAAAGAATTATTTATTTAATTTTATTTACCATTTTTTAAAAGAATTTTTACGACAAGGCATGCACATTCACCAGAGAGAGAAAGAGAGAGAAAACAAGATACTAGATCTGGGACTTGAACTGCAGTCTACCACATGGTAGTCCAATGACCCAATCTTCATGCCACCTGTTCACCCCAGAAACCCTCTTTTTTAATGGTTTTGAATAGTTGATGTTTTCCTCCCAGATTAAAATAAAATTTTGGTCCTCTTCCCAGATAAACAGATGTAGTTCTGTGTTTTGGAGCCATGGCCACCTTGGGGTTGGAAGGTACACAAGGCAGCATCAGTACCTAGCATTCGCCTTTTGTCTCTTTCACAGTTGAAGACTTGAGCTCCGTTTTAATTTTTGTGCAAGTTTAATTGTGTTTTAACTTTCAAAATTCTGGACTTGGGACCAATGGGTGGCGTGGTGGTAAAGGCAACTAGGTCCTGCATGACTGACTGCATGGTTGGAGTCCTGGCCCAGGGAAATGAGACACACTCTGGGCATGTGTGTGTGTGTGTGTGTGTGTGTGCACGTCCAAAATCCCAAAAAGAGAGAGAGAGAGAAGGCATGGCCGTTCTCCATGGAGGGTGCTTTCTCACTTTGCCTTTCTCTCTTTTTCTCTTTGATGAGCACACACCCTCCGACAAATTAAAAAATTCTGAACTAGAACATTCTAAGATTAAGCTACTCATGACTTTACTAATTGAATGAAAGTTTATTTAATGGGCTGCCTTCTATGCATTCTAGTTTGCTGATAGGGTTAGAGTTCAGCAAGGTAAAATCTTTAAATTTAAGGGGCTCACAAACTAATGGGGAAAATTTTTTTCTATGCAAGTTCAGTTTGCCTGTGGAAGAGATCGAATAACAACTAACCTGGTGGGGTGTGACTTTCTAGATTTCACAGGAGGGCTTTTCCCAGTGCTAACCTTAGCATTTGTAGGTAGCTGGTCTGAAATGTGTGGGTCTTCCGCATGTTTGTATTTTCGGTCTTAAGTTTGGTTTTAGTTAGGAACTTACCAGTTAAAACAACAACCTCAAAAGCTAACATTTTAGTGATTCTTTCTTGCCCTCTAATTTTAGTAGCCCCATTAAGCTTGTGTTACGGTGTTGAAGGTTTGTAAGTATTGTCATCTTCGTAGTCAAGGAGCTTGCCTGGGTAGTGAGGGAGAGAACTGTGCTACCTTTGGAGGTTTGCGCATCTCGAAGACCTTCACCCTTCCCATTGCCTCACATCTCTACTTACACTGGAGAAACCACCATGTTAAATATTGAAGCAAACTAGTGGGTCTGGTTGCTTCTACTCCATTCAAACTAACATAGTTGTTTGACTTCGTAACATTCAGCTTTATCTGCAGGTGCTTACAGACTAATATCTACCCTTTTTCTGAAACTATAGGCAGAAAAAGCCGTACATCAGAAAAAAGAACATTCAAAAAATAAATGCCATAAAGCTCGGAGATGTCACATAAATCGGACACTAGAATTTAACCGTAGACAAAAGAAGAACATATGGTTAGAAACTCACATCTGGCACGCCAAACGGTTTCACATGGTCAAGAGGTGGGGCTACTGCCTCGGAGAGAGGCCGACAGTCAAGAGCCACAGAGCCTGCTATCGAGCCATGACAAGCCGTTGCCTCCTTCAGGTATGCTTTTCCTGTGGGGTTTTTCTTATTTTTGTTTAGACCCTTTCCGATACAGACTTTTAGGCTATTTCATGGTATGTCAAGGCCCTGTTTATGAGGTTATTCATTTTAGAAATGATTTCCTGTGCATGAAGTGCTCTGCACGGTGCTGGAGACGAAAGATGAAATTACTGGAGATGACTGACACCAGTCGGACCATTAACCAAATACACGATTGTATGGAAAGAGCGTACAGTACGATGAGCCTTTGTCACAGAGCAGGAAGGCCTCTCCTGGCAGTGATGTGTGAGCCGAGCTTAAAGGAATAAGGTGGGAGAATGAGCGAGGCAGAAGGATGCCAGATGAGTGGCGAGGTGAGGGGAATTCTTTGTGACAGAGATGAAGAGAATGAGAACAAGACTGGAGTAGGAACCAGATTTTGCAGGGCCTCACTGGCCATGTTCAAGGTTTATTCGATATAGGCGAGTCTAGCAGTAGGAGTCATTCATGAGAACCTACTGTATACCCTGAGCAGTATTAAAAATGCTGTTCTAGGCATTTATGAGTCAGTGGAAAAGATGTTTGAAATATTAAACTTTTTTTTTTTTTTTTTTTAAGATTTTTGCCATAGGATGAGTGTACTCATTGGAGAGAGAGAGAAGCAGAGAGAGAGAAAGTGAGAAATCACCTCCCAGGGAGGATGGCCTTGCTGCAATCCCTTCTCCTCCTAGGATTTTGGGTATGCACGCACATGTGCGTGGTGTGATTTTCAGACTGCCAGGTCTGGGACCTGGACCAGTGTTGGCCATGTGGGAACATAGCACCTTAACTGCCATGCCACCTGCTGGCCCAGAAATTTTAAACTTTTTGAGAGGACAGTTTTAGAGCTCTTAAACATATTAATCTGATTGTGTACTCCCCTCAATTGCTAATTCGGTTGCTTTCTATCTCTTGCAGTACATATTTAGACATTTGCTCTTTGCAGAAAGGCATTTTCTTCCAGTGGCAGGATGGCCTGGGCCAAGCTTTGAAAGCTTTCGGTATTGGCATCCTCTGATGCCTCTTAAGGGCAATATAGCAGAATAATCAATATGAGAACCCTTTTTTTAAAAAAAAAAAAATTGTGGTAAAGCATACTAACAAAATTCATCATATAATCATTTTTACAAGTACAGTTCTTTGGTACTAAGTACATTCCTGTGGTGCATCTATCACCATCATCCATTCCAAAGCTCTTTGATCTTCCCAAACTGAAATTCTGTACCCACCACACACCAACTCCCCACGCCCTCCTCCCCCAAGTCTCTGGCAACCTCCGTTCTACTTTCTGTCTTTTAGTTTGACTCCTATAAGCACCTCACAGGGTGGATGCATGTGGTATATTTGTTCACTTATTTCACTTAGTGTAATGCCTTCAAGGTTTATCCATGGGACCAGCAGTTGGAATAATGGCTATATTGCTCGACTCCCATTAGTCAATTGTGGTACGAATCCTGGACCTGGTGGCTTAAACTCACGCTGAGAACATGTGCGTGCATGCCCAAGATCCCAAGAGGAGAATGGAGAAGGGATTGCGGCATGGCCATCCCCCCCGTGGGGTGATTTCTCGCTTTCTGTCTCTGTCTCTGTCTTTCGGGTGAGCACATGCGCCCTATAGCAAAACCTCTCCAAAAAATAAAAAGGTTGATCCATGTTGTGGCATATGTCAGAATTTCCTTCTTTCTTTAAGACTGAGGAGTATTTCACTGTATGTGTATACTGCGTTGTATTTGCCTGCTTATCTGTCAGTGGATGTTTGTTTTGCTTCCACCTTTTGACTGTTATGAATAATGGTGATGTGGACATGGGCGTACAAATGTCATTTGAGTCCTTACTTTCAGTTCTTTTGGATTTATACCTAGAAGAGGAATTACTGGGTCATAGGGTATTTCTGTGTTTAATTTTTTTAGGTATTGCTATAGCATTTTCCATACAGCTGCACCTTTTTACATTTCTACCAGAAATGCACAAGGTCCCAATTTCTCCACATCCTGGTCAACTCTTGTTACTTTCTGTTATTTGGTACTAGCCATTCTGAGCAGGGTGAGGTGAGCACAAGGATCTTTTAAGAGGCCTGGAGAACTCAGCTCTAGGAATCATAGATTATAGTCGAATTCCTAATTTACATTGAGGAGTCTGGATTCCAGAGAGGTGAAGTGTCTTACCCAAGGTCATGCAGCCTGTGGGGAGCTAGACAACACTCGGGCAGCTGATTCCCCTGGTCTGGGCTTTTACTACTATATTCTCGAATTTTAGAAATGAGTTCTTATTTTAGGCAGAATTTTTGCTGAATTTATCAAATATTTTCTCAACATTGGATCAATCTTAGTAACAAATATTTTTGGGTGCTTAGTATATTCCTGGCTCTGTTTTAAATGCTTTACATGGGTTATTCATTTAATTATATTTTTTTAACATGTTTTTAAAGTTAATTTTTTAAAAGAATTATTTTATTTAACTTTATTTATTTATTTTAAATTGACCAGAGAGGGATGTAGTGAGAGAGAGAGAGTGAGAGAGTGAGAGAGAGAGAGAGAGAGTGAGAGAGAGAGAGAGAGAGAGAGAGAGAGAGAAGAGAAGAAGAGAGGAGAGGAGAGAAAGAGAAAGTGAGAAAGCAAGCCACCAGGTCCAGGACTCAAACTGTGATTGGCCATGTGGGAGTCCAGCACCCTTAACCATCATGCCACCTACCATCCCCTATTCATTTAATTCTTACAACAACAGTAAAAGAGTAGTAATTTCTGTTGAAACTGAGATATAGAGAGGTTGAGTAATTTACTGACCCTCAGCCAGTAAGTCGGTGAAGTTGAGATTTGAGCCAGGGACTGCAGAGATTCAGGCTCTTAACCTTCAGTGTCTGCTGTCGCCCAGTGGTACAAACTCAGGAGAGAGTCATCTGGCCACTGCCAGCCTTGCTGATGGAAGTGTGCCTGTGTGTGAGGGATGGCATTGACCAGTGTGAGTTTGTCACAACCACAGCAGTCATTTGCCATGTAGTTCCAGTTGCTGAGTGTACTGGAATTGCTAAAGATGCCTTGGCAGAGGGGTCAGATTGGAGGTCAGAGAGCCAGGTTTAAATGTTCACTTATGAGGTTTTCAAAGACACAATCTCCATGTCTCAAATCTTCCTCTGTCAAATAAGGGGACGGCAGTACATGGTTCTTAGGTTGTTGGGAGGACAAAGTGGCAGTCCAGGTAAGGATTTAACCCTGTGCCTGGCCCTCGGTAAACCTTCAGTGACTATTAACTTGCTATTTTTCTTTGGTGTGTTGATTTTACTAGCTCCATCTTCTCTCACTTCATCTTACTTAAATTAGTAAGGTCTTACTCTCATTACCACTTTTCCTTGTACATCACTTGGTTGCGGATTCGGGTTTTAATTGGGTATGGGAGGGATATGGGGTAAGTTAATTGCAATATTGTGTCTCTAGACTTGGTGTCAAGAGATCTTGAGGGTCTAAATTAGCTAACTGAAGTGAGAACTCCTAGCATAATTTTGCAGAATGTATTACTGTCTTTCTTACGGTACTCTGATTTCTTACCTTAGGTTTATCTGGGGGATGATTACTCCATTAAGTTAGAAGCGGCAGTTTTGTTTTGTGTTTTTGAGAGATTTTTGTTATAGGGTGCATGTGCTTGCTAGAGAGACAGAGATAGTGAGAGGGACAGTGAGAAACCACTCCCCAGGGAGGACGGCCACACTGCAATCCTCTTCAATTCCCCTCTCAGGATTTTGGGCACACATATACACATGCCCTGTGAGAGTTTCAAGCTGCCGGGTCTGAGACTCGAACTGTGGTCCACCACGTGGGAGTCCAGCACCTTAACCACCATGCCACCTGCTGGCCCCAGAAGTAGCAGTTTTTATACCCTACTTACCATTTACCTATAAATATGAGCTAAAAGATAGATTTGCTTTCAAAAAATAGAACACACTTTAACTTACATTTTCAATATAGATTCATTTTGATTTTGATTCAGATTGATTTCAGAATATTAGCTAGTGTAATAGGTGAACAGGTTTCAGATTTTGGCTAACTGAGGAAGACTGCTTTGTCTTGCACCGCTAGAGGTTTTCTGATGTGAGTTTTGGCTCCTTAGCAGTTTTGCCCCCTGTAATTTCTTGAGTATTTAATTATGTCTTTCTCTCTGTGTAGGACTTATCTTACTACTGCTGTTTGGAGCTGAAGGGCAAAGAGGAAGAAATACTAAAGGCACTTTCTCAACTGTGTAGCATAGACACAGGTAAGCCTGTTTCAAGGTTTAAGTTCTATTTTGGCCTTTCTATATTTTTTAATTTCATGAACTAGTGTCTGCTGTATGCACTTTAGAATTTAAACATATGTAAAAATATGTGAGACAGTTCTTTGTTCCCATTGAGTACATTGATTTAAGGAAAGTTAGGGTGGCATTTGAATCATTTATAATGTCAAATGTAAAGGAAAAGATAGGAGAGAGTCATTGTTTTGGTGAGGTCAACTTAGGCAGGAAGAAATTTGAAACTCTCATTATGTCACTCATTCAATAAATATTTACTGAGAACGTATTGTGTGCCAGGCTTTGATCAAAGCAATGGTCAAAATCCAAACTTCATCCCTCCTGGAGATAGACAATAAATAACAATGTGACTATCAGGAAATAATACTGCAATCCTGACACTTGAAATCATGGAGTTTTGCTTTTGTTTACGTCAGGATTGACGTTTGCAGCAATTCATTGCTTATCTGGAAAGCGCCAAGGGAGCCTTGTGCTTTACCGGGCGAATAAGTATCCTAGAGAAATGCTTGGGCCGGCTACATTTATTTGGAAGTCTAAGAGGACGCCTGGTGACACTGCAGAGGACAGACAGTTGTGGATCTGGCTTCACCCAACCCTTAAGCAGGTATAATCGTTTAGATTATTTCCCTGTCATTCCTATTACTACATTCTTAATTACTGTTGGAAGTCAGTGCCACAGAAATTTGAATAATATAATGATTGGGAGGTGACAGGTTAAGGTGCTGAACTCCCACATGGCTGACCATGGTTTGAGTCCTAGGCCTGGCGGCTTGCTTTCTCATTTTCCCTCTCTCTCTCTGGTCAAATTAAAAAATAACAATACTAACAAAATTAAAAGAAATAGTTAAATTTGAATAATATAATGTTTGGCTGATGGTATTTGAATGTAGGGGCAGAAGTTGTATGAATTTGAAATTAAGCAATTAAAAATTCTTTTTAATTAAACAATTTTTTAAAACATTTCATCGACAAAGATTGAACATATTCAAGGTGTGCAGTGTGATCATTTGGTGTTTGTATACATTGTGTAATGGTTACTACAATCAAAATACCACATCTATCACTCCCCTGTACATTAGGTCTCCGGAGCAAATCATGACCTCCTCATTTTTTGTAAGTCCTAAACAAGTGGAGATGAAAAATCATCTTATTATGCTGAAGCTTTGAAATGTTACATTTGGACTCAAGCTCTCACCTGCTTGAATTGACTCATTGTTATCTAATTGCTTGTTAGAGTCTTTTTGAAAATGAGAAGTTGTTTTGAGTAATGAAGGCTTTTAATATTGCATTTAGTTTACTTTCCCTTCTTTAGCAAAGTCACTGATTTTATTATACAATAGACTGTAAATTTTTACTTTTAACTCCAATCCAATGATTAGATTTAAATAAAAATTTAAACAAATTTTAAAAATTTAGTTATAGTATTATAGTTATGTTGCTTTTATGATATTTTCTATTTAGCTTTTTTTAAAATTCAAAGTGCCATGCACTATTCAGAAAAACTGAGTGGTTTTGGTTATTTATTTATTTATTTATTTATTTGGAGATTTTTTTTTTGCTATAGGGTGTGTGCGCTCACCAAACAGACAGAGTCAGAGAGAAAGAAAGTGAGAAATCACCCCCCAGCGGGGATGGCCATGCCACAATCCCTTCTCCATTCTTCTCTTGGGATCTTGGGCACGTACTCACATGTGCCTGGTGTGAGTTTTAAGCCACCGGGCCTGAGACTCGAACCGTGGTCGACTACATGGGAGTCCAGTGACACAGCCATTACACTAACTGCTGGTCCCTGTTTGTTTTTATGTTTTATGAGAGTGTGTATGTAGGAAGAAGGAGGGAGGACAGACAGAGAGAAAGAGAGAGGTATTTTTGGCAGGTTCTTACCATTGTGATTTTCTGCCCCTGCCACCCAGTCAGTTAGAATTGCAAACATCGCCTTGCCCGGCCTGTTTAGGTTGGTCCAGGATCTGAACCCAGATCCTACTGGTTACACCATGGTAGCTGGGCCCAAAAGAGCTTTTGATGATGATAAATTTAAGAAGGGATAAAAATGGAAATTTTTAAAGGAATAAAAAATGAACTAAATCAGGACCAACAGGTGGCCTGGTAGTTGGGTGCTGAATTTCCACATGGCCAACTGCGGTTCCAGTCCCAGACCTGGTGGCTTGCTTTCTCACTTTCCCTCTCTCTCTCTCTGGTCAAATTAAAAAATAATAATAAATAAGTTATTTTTGAAAAAGCTAAAGCAATAACATTTATAGTAACATATTTACATTTTAAAATTTAAACATAAATGTTGAACTATTCCCTTAGGATGTCTTAGAGGAAATAAAAACAGCATGCCAGTGTATGGAACCCATCCAAGCGACAGTCTGCATCCCAACCCTGCTTCTGACCCCGTCCCAGGAAAAGGGCCAGACTGAACAGCTCAATGAGAAAGTTGGAAAGAAAAGAAAAAGGCAAGATGATGGAGAAATTGCTAGCCCAATTAAAAAAATTATTGGCGACGGAACTAGAGATCCGTGTCAACCATATTCCTGGATGTCTCCAGCCACAGGCATTGTGATCAGGTAGGAGTTGAATCTGCTCTTAACCTACTGAACGTTTTCCGTCAGTGAAGACTTGCTTCATTTTTGCCTGTGACACGATCATTGCAGATGATGGGAGTTTCCACTTTGTGACCTCTTCTCTTTCAGTGATTTGACGATGGAGATGAACAGATTCCGGCTGATTGGTCCACTTTCCCACTCCATCCTGACTGAGGCGCTGAAAGCGGCTTCTGTCCTCACTGTAAGAGTAAATGTGACCGGTGTGTTCTATTCGAGCTGTGTATTTCTTACCAAGTTACAGATGTGTAATTTGGTAACGTTAGGCGATGCCTTTTAAACGTTTCTTTTTTCTAATAATTATTTTATTTATTGTTATTATTATTTTATTTGACCAGAGAGAGAGAGAGAGAGAAAGGAAAAATGAGAAAGCAGGCTACCAGGTCTGGAACTCAAACCACAGTCAGCCATGTGGGAGTCCAGTGCCTTAACCACCATGCCATCTGCCAGCCCCAAGATGTTTATGTCTTTACGTGGGCCTATTACCAAAAGTTCTGCCATCTTTCACTTCTAGAAAACCAAATCTAAGTGGGTATAATAGTAAACTGCCTGCTATTATTTGAATAGGCTTCCTTTGCAGTTCTGAGTCTCGTAGGAGGGTCTTCACCTCTATTCAGTAGGTGGGTGATGGGGAAATCTCTGAAATTCTGTGCCTATACTTTTCTGTGCCTAATTTTTTGTGTTGTACTTGTGTATGCTTATCCTCTGGGACTAGTCTTACCAATCTATGATCCTCCCAAAAGTTAAGGGTAGTATGTCTAGTTCAATACTTCTCATAGAACTTTCTGGGGATGATGTTCCCGTGTGTTGTCGTTTGGTGGCGCTTGAGATGTGACTAGAGTAACTGAGGAACTGAATTTGTACCTTTACTTAGGGCACGTGCACTCACTGGAGAGGGATGGAGAATAGGGCTAAGAAGAGAGAAAGCACTTCTCGTGGGAGATGGTCACATTTATCCCTTCTCCATTTATCCCTTCTTTTGGGATTTTGGGCCTGTACACACATGCCTGGCGAGTTTCTCAAGCCACCAGGTTCAGGACTTGAACCATGCGGCTGACAATGTGGGATCCAGCTACTCTCTCACCACAGGCAGCTCCCTTTATTGAATTTTAATTGACTAAAAATTGAATTTGAATAGCTCTGTGTGGCTAGTAGCTGTAGTGTTGGATAGCACACATCTAAAGAGTGAATGTGGAATCTGCCGCTCTGGGTTCAAATCTTGTTTGTTTCCTGCCTTAGTGCAGTTAATTAACTTGTCAGGGCCTGTGCCTTTCAGATTTGGTGTGGCCAAATACAATGATGGATTGGAATGGATTTTGAGATTTTAGAAGAAAGCCCCTTTAAAAAAATACAAGCTCTATGCTATTTCTCAATCAACCACTGTTGTCTCATGTGAAATCCTTGAGCTGCTTCTTAACTTTCTTCCATTATTCCCCTTTTCAGTCCATTCTTCAGTCCATGGAGGAGATGAAGTGATCTTTTAATTTATTTACATCTTGTTGCTTCTTGATTAAATGTCTTTGAATGGCTTCTCATTGTATTTAAGATAAAATCCAGAGCCCTTAGTATGACCTGTGTAATCTCTTGGTGTTGTGCTTCGGGGACCTCATCTCTTCTCATCTTCTGGCCCGCCTTCGTTCAGGTTCCAGAACGTGTCAGTTCTTGTCTCTCTTAGAGTCTTTGCACCTGTTTTTATCTACCACTGCTCTTTGCTTGGCTAACCCTTCCTTGTTCTTTTAAGAATTCAGTCTACATCATTTATTCTGTCATTTTCCTAGATTCTTTTCCTGGTGCCTTAAGTTAAATTATGTCCCTCCTGTTATTTTCAGAGCATCTTGCACATTTCCTCAGTTTACATGTATAGGTTTGTGTGTATATTTATGTAATCTCCGTGTCTCTCATTAGACCATGACCTCCATGATGGCAAAGGGAAGCTTGGCCCTGTTCTTTGTCCTGGCCTCCCTGTAAGCATAGAGCCTAGCGCAGAGGAGGTGCACCTCGGTAGCTGATAAGTAGCTGTAGAATGAAGGTCTGAGGGTAGAAAGTTGGGTTCTAGAGCCTGTACCCTGAACCACTCTGTTGCTACCTGAGCCTGTGGTAAATGGCATCTATTACAAGCTGCTCTAGTATCTGTCAGAACATGTAAATCATGACTGCAGGTTGTCTTGGCATGCACATGCTACTTGAACGCTTTTTGAAACTTTGCTCAATTCTTACTTCTGTTTGGAAAAAATGTAAGTGAAGTGCTTAGATCTCTTATTGATTGATTGATTGATTGATTGGAGAGGTTTTTGCTGTAGGGAGTGTGCACTTGCCAGAAAGACAGACAGAGACAGAGAGATAGAAAGCAAGAAATCACCCCCCAGGGGGGATAACCACGCCGCAATCCCTTCTCCTCCATTCTCCTCTCAGTATCTTGGGCATGCACGCACACGCGCTGGGTGTAAGTTTAAGCCACTGGGTCCGGGACTCGAACCGCGGTCAACTACATGAGAGTCCAGCAACATAGCCATTATGCCAACTGCTGGTCCCAAAGTGCTTATATATCAAAAGGCATTTCCAGGAATACTGTAGTGGAAATATATCCTTTGTCTGAAAATGTACTCAGGAAGTACTGGTTTGATTTTCCTTTTGTGATAAATGTTTTAGTATTCTTAATGGAGGTGGTGAAATTGGCCGTTTTTGTTGAGCAACAAGGGCATTGTTTTTGTTGGAACTGTGCTAAAGAGAGGCTGCAAGTGTGGCATAGCTTGGTTAGGTAGTTCTCTGAAAACCACGTGACTATTTCCTGGTATGTGAAATCTTCAGAGAAGATTTCAGTAGTACTGTGTCCTTAGAAATTGGAAGAGTAGTTTGTCCAGTATTAATTAATATGTTACATATAGTTACTTCTCTGCTTCTGCCCATAAAACATTTATTCCCACGCACAGAAAGAAAGGGCCATTAACACAACTACAACAGTTATTAAGTCTGATTCATCACTTGTCTGGTGAACAGGAGATGTTACTTTCTAGGCTAGAGAAGTCACAGAGAAGACACCTCATCAGTGGTGGACTGAAACCTGTAAGAGTCCTGACAGCGTTTCCCTGCATCACAGACAAGAAGCCATCTTGGAATTGTTGGGAGGTATGTGGAGGGAATACCGGGTTGCCTTGGGGATAGGAGTGGGAAGTGGGTTAAAAGGGTATTTTACAGTTGGATCTCCAATGTGTAGTATTACTTTCTTTTTTTTTCCCAAAGTTTATTTTTTGTTCCCAATAGAGACTACATGTGTGTCCATGGAGGAGACAGGGGGTGTGGGGAACATCCTTGACAGGGTCTTGTCATGTCAGTATTCCCTTCAAACCCTCTACTCCAGTTGTCAGGGTCTTGGGCATCCATGTGCACGCCCAATATGTTTCCAGTTTACCAGGCTGGGGATCCAAACCTATGGTAGGCCACGTGGCTTCCAGCATTACACTTCAGTACTACTGACTACACCCAAGAGGCTGGGCCATGTTGCTTATTAACTTGCTGCTGTTTGTTACAGTAGAGCAAAAAAAGCAAGTAAGAGAGATGCCCAGTTCAATGAATAAATACAATATTCATATTCATTTATGAAACGACATCAAATGAGGCATTAGTATCCTAAATAACTGGCATCCTGATGTTATAGATTCGTGCATCTACCAGGTGCTGACCCGAAATCTGTATGGACTTGCCCATGTTGCATTTATGCTCATAGCTGCCGAAGTTATCACTGATAGATGCAATGTGGCAGGTCTTAGAATGACCTTTTTACATCTTACTCTTTATGAATGTTAATTTATTCTCTCAAAGTATCAATGGGGAAACAAGGGAATGTTTAAATGATTAGCCCAGGCCAGCTGGTGTGTCATGGCTAAAGTGACTATCTCACATGGCTGACCACGTGGTTCAAGTCCTGGGCCTTGGTAGTTTGAGAAACACACTGGGCACGTGTGCATGTGTGTCCAAAATCCTCTGAGTAGAAGGGATCGTGGGTATAGGGGTTGCTTTCTCTCTCTCTCTCTCTGTCTCTCTCTAGCGAGCACACACACCATTTAGCAAATTAAAAAAAGAATTAGCCTCAAAAGAAAATTTCATCAGAAAATCTAAAAGATTTACAAATATAAGCAAATATGTATTTATGTATTATCAATGACTTTTTCTGTAGGCGTGCATATATTTATTTATTTATTTTTAAAGGAGTTACATCACCAGCAGAAATACCGGCAGGTACTATTCTGGGACTAACAGTTGGTGATCCTCGAATAAATTTGCCTCAGAAGAGATCCAAAGCTTTGTCCAATCCAGAAAAATGTCAAGGTAAAATTCTTGAAACACTCTCGGTTTTCCTTACTGTTTTGAGCAGTCCAGTCCCATTAGGCAAGTCCTCTCTGACACCTCTGCAATAATTTCATCTGTGAAAAGTTAGGGGGCCCTTTACCTTACCAGGTGATTATGATCAAAGGAGAAGGTGTTGTGGAGCAGCTCTTAGCTGTAAAACATGTAGCTGGATCCTTATATTGACTTTGTTTTGAGTTCTCTATTTGTTAGTAAAACTTGTCTCTCTGCAAACTGGATTCTCTGAAAATGCCTGGCATTTCAGCATTTAACTTGTGAGGAAGGGATCTGCACCGGCAGCTGGTCTTGTGCTCAGTGGAAGCCTCTGTCTGACCATACAGATGATCCAGGTTCGAATCCTGGCAAGGCCATCCCAGGTGCTGAAGTATGAGATATCTTGATCTAGAGTGAGTAGACTGGCTTGAGAGAATTGTTTGGCTGGGGTGATAGAAGATGGTGGGGAGAAGATGGCTAACATTTTAGTCTGATTTGGGATTTGTCACAATTATGATAATGTCTCATTGTATTTACTGTCATTTAAATACGATTAACTACAAGAAAAATTAAAATTTGCTTGTGAATTTTGGGGAAAAAAGAGACAGGTATGTGTCATAACAACTTCAGAATCTTCTTTACCTTCCCACATGTAATTATATAGTTTATTAAGGGGGCAGTAAATTACTCTGTCAGAACTTTACATAAAAGGGAGAGTAGAGTTTGAACATGCATAGGTAAGTTAGTTAATTATAGAGCCTAAGACTTTAATCAATGAATCATCACTTTTTTCTGTCCTTTTCTTTTTTTTTGGAGAGGTCTTTGCTATAGGGTGTGTGCGCTCGCCAGACAGACAGAGACATAGAGACAGAAAGCGAGAAATCACCCCCCAGGGGGGATGGTCACGCCGCAGTCCCTTCTCCTCCATTCTTCTCTCGGGATCTTGGGCACGCACGCACACGCGCCCGGCGTGAGTTTTAAGCTACCGGATCCGGGACACGAACCGCGGTCGACTATGTGGGAGTCCAGCGACATAGCCATTACGCTAACTGCTGGTTCCCTGTCCTTTTCTTTTTATAATGTCATAAAAGTTGCAGCATCTACTATGCCATTAAATGTTGACCATTGGTATCACCTTAAAGCTGTAGTTATACTCTTCTTAGTTTCTTTTGCTACCTCGTATCTTTGTTTTGGAATGAGGTAGTTATGTATTAAATCCTTTCTAAGGCTTTTATCTTAATATACATTTGTTCCAGGAAGATTAAAGTCTATATTAAAAACATGATTTAATTTTTGCTAAATCTTCCATCTTGTTAGTCATTGTGATATTTCATTAAAACCTGTTTTAAAACCTGTTTCATGCGCCCAGTGTGTCTTTCAAGATGCTGGGGCTAGGACTTTGCCATGGTCAGCCAAATGGAATCTTGCTTCTTCTGAACAGTGCCTAACCACTGCGCTATGGGGGCTGGCTCTAGAGAGCTTTTTTTTTTTTTAATTTTAATTTTTTAAGAATTATTTAATTTATTAGTATTATATTTTAATTTGACCAGAGACAGAGAAAGAAAGAAACAGAAAATGAGAAAGTGAGTGGCCAGGTCCAGAACTTGAGCCACAGTCGGCCATGTTGGAGTCTAGCACTTCAACCACCATGTCACCTGCTGGTCCCTCTAGAGAGCTTTTAAAAGAGAGGGTACATGAAGGATCTGAAGTCTCAGGTTCTTTGAGAAAGTTTACTTGATCATTTGGTTCTTGTATTTGATTTAAATATTTGTGTTTTTACAAATCTTTCCTACTTTACAAATCTTTCCTACTTTAACAGCATTTCACTCTGTAATGACTGATTTTCTTTTCTTTCGTTTTTTTTTTAAAATTTTTTAAAAGAGGTTTTTGCTATAGGGCGAGTGCACTCACCAGACAAACAGAGAAAGACAGAGAGACAGAAAGTGAGAAATCACCACCCAGATGTGTGTGGTGGGTTAGCCATGCTGCAATCCCTTCTCCTCCATTCTCCTCTTGGGATCTTAGGCATGCAAACACACGTGCCTAGCATGAGTTTTAAGGGTCTGGGACGCGAACTGTGGTTGACTACATGGGAATCCAGCGACATAGCCATTATGCTCACTGCTGGTCCCATGACTAATTTTCTTGATGAGATTTAAAAATCTTTCTGCTGTATTTTATTTACCCTCCTTATCATTTGCTGATATGCTTCAGAAGATTTTGACTAGTTATTGTATGCTAGAGATGAATTTCCTTTAGGAAATACTGAACTTACAGTATTTAAGTTTTAATCTTTATTTAAAACTTTAATCTTTCTCTCTAAACACGTTTTGGTTTATGATTTTGCTATACCACCTGAAGGGTGGGAAGAGACCAGTTGCCTACAGGGTGATGGGTGAGAGGCCACGCCTTTTCTTTGCCTATCTCAGTGCACCGTTAGAGCGCTCATCTGCACTCATCTTTCAGAAGTGCCCAGCTAACAGTGATTTGCCACTTCTGTTTCTGCTCTTGGGAGGAAAAAACCTAATAGCTTCAGCCAGGCATCTTTTACCTGTTCTGCATATTTATTTAAAAAAGAATGAATGTGAATATTATAACTTTGGTTTCTTTGATTTCCAAATGATAAGGCCTTATACTAGTTTCCTTTGCTTCTCTAAGTAAAACTAATTAAGAAAGTTTTTTTAAGAATTATTTTTTATTTAACTTTATTTATTATTATTATTATTATTATTATTATTATTATTATTATTATTATTACTAGTTTCCAGTTTAAACGGAGAGAGGGAAAATGAGAAAGCAAGCCACCAGGTCCTAGACCCGAACCATGGTCAACCATGTGAGAGTCCAGTGCCTTTAACCACCACCCTACCTGCCAGCCCCTAAGAAAGTTTTAACATTTGGTGATCATTAAATACATTTTAAGGATACAGAAGACAGTTTATTTTCGTCGATATTTCACAATTCTGCAGTTAATGCTATCTCAGTGCAGGGCTTTTATATGCGTCTTGAGGGAAAGGACTTAGAATTACATTCAGAATCGGTAGTCTTTCTAGGAACACTGATCTGCATCCTGCCCTGGATCGTCATGTTTTTCTCTCCCTCTGAAGACTGATGACCTAAAAAGACCTTCCCCTTTGCCTTTAGAAATTCTACTTGATTTTAAATAGATGTTGTATTTTAGAGCAGTTTTACATTGAGAGCAAAATTGAGTGGGAAGACAGATTTCCCATATTCTCCCTGCCCCGACCCATGCACAGCCTCCCTGTGATCAGCACCCCCACCACAGAGGTTTGTTTATTACCACCCGTGCACCTACATTGACACATCATTATCACCCAGAGTCCATGGTTTACATTAGGGTTCACTCTTGCTGTTGTACACTCAGAGGATTTTGACCAATGTGTAATGACATACGCCCATCATTGTAGTATCCTACAGAGTAGATTCACTGCCCTGAAAGTCCTCTGCGGGGTCAGCAGGTGGTGTAGAGGTTAAGGTGCTGGATCCCACATGACTAGCTGCAAGTTTGAGTTCCAGACGCAGCGACTTGAAAATCACACCAGGCATGTGTGTATGCGTCCCCAAAATCCCGAAGGGAGACTGGAGGAGAAGGGATTGCAGCATGGCCATCCCCACGAGGGTTGATTTCTCACTTTGTCTGGGTCTCTTTGACTCTTTCTGTCCTTCTCCAGCAAGCACACGTGCCCTATAGCAAAAAACAAAAACAAAACCAAAAAAACCCTCTGTGCTCCACATATGCATCCCTCCCTTCCCCTATACCTGGCGACTGCTGATCTTTTTACTCCAATAGTGTTCCCTTTTCCAGAATGTCATAGCCTTTTCTGTAGCCTTTTCAGACTGGCTTTCTTCTCCTAGTCTTATGCATCTCAGTTTCCTCTAGGTCTTTCATGGCTCACCAGCTCATTTCCTTTTAGTTTTGGATGATATTCAGTTACCTGGCTATGCCATCTACTTTGTTTTACCTATTATTATTATTTTTTTTAATTTGAGGATAAAGCAGTGTTTTCCTATTTCTGTACCCCTTAAGTATCAGCCATCTATGCAGCTCAGGCTGAATAGCGTCCCAGTTCTGTCACTCTAGTCTGTGGCTGTGCTTCACAGGAGAGCATTCGGGGAGACTGAGGCTGCTGGAAATAGAGTGCGTTTGTCCTCAGACAGGCCAGGTGAACCTCTGCAGCCCCGTTACTAGAGACTCGTGGTTATTATCTCCATCAGGAGGAACAGTGTACTCAAGCACCTGCTGCTTCTAAGCGCTTTTCATTTCAGATCTTTGCATCAATTTAATTTTCTCTAACTTTGTTTTCCCCTGAAATCTGTCACCCTGTGGTCCAGTTGCTTCCAACTTGTTTTTTTCCCAGCCATCAGACCCATGCAGGTATGTGCCTTTGAGTGACGTTCCTATGTTGGCTTTTTAGAACCACAGCGAGGACTCCAGACTTGTCTCTTTTCTTTTCATTCTTCAGTTCAACAAAATAAAATTTGAAGGACTTTTTTCCCCCCAGGAGTAAATGACTGTGTGTAGAAAGTCTCCTATCCATGTAGGTGTTTATCACTGAAAAAGTTCCTTGTCCGTTAGAGTACTTTCTAGCATGCCGTGGCTTATATAAAGGGCTGAAGCAATATGTTTCACCGAAAATATGCTCATTTTAAAGGAATTTTAAGAATATGATTTGCAAAAAGAAATAAATAGTTCACTAAAGGAATCAGAGACTGGAAATATGGGGCAGGAGAAAGGGTGATAGCTGTTATCTCGCCACCATTGGGCAGAAGTGGTGGACAAGGCCCTGAAGCCAGCAGTTAAATAGAGCTTTTGCTTCTGATGGCCTAGTATTGGGGAATTATTTGCCTCTACAGTGACTCCTAGAATGTGACAATCTTAAATGTGAAACTAGGTGGTTTTTTAGAGGCAAGTTAACATTGTGAGACTTGCATCTTACACATGAAAGACAAATAGTCAAGAAAATGTTTGTAAGGCCTTGCTATTTCACAGATGATGAAACTAACTCTAAGAATAATTTCTTGTCAAGTAAATTCTTCCAAAGACGTTTAGTAAATGCCTATAAAATAGTTCCTTGTAACAAGTCTGCTGTCAACATTTCGAGTTTGATTTGATCTGTAGAATGTGATTTGAAGGCTGTTTCTTTTCCCTCTTAGATAATGAGAAGGTTAGACAGCTGCTTCTGGAGGGCGTACCTGTGGAATGTGCGCATAGCTTTATCTGGAACCAAGATATCTGTAAGAGTGTTACAGAGAATAAAATCTCGGATCAGGTAACTAATAGCGTGAGGATTATTGGCGAAGTTATGAATGTCAGATTAACTATATCATTCTAGAGACCATAGATGATTTCATGTTGCATAGATTTCTTAAATTTTCAAATAACCTGTTGCACCTTTACACAGAATACCTACTGTTTTGTTTTACTTTTTTTCATAGGGATAATCTAAGAATAAGGATAACAATCCAAGGCTAAGGATACATACTATGATTTTTTTTTTCCCCTGTTCTTAGGGATAAAATAAGAATGTGCCTTTTGGGGCTGGCAGGTGGCATGGTATGGTGGTTAAGGATGCTAGACTACCACACGGAGTGGTTCAAGTCCTGGACCTGGGGGCTTGCTTTCTCACTTTCCCTCTCTCTCTCACACACTCTGTCCCTCTCTGATCAGATTAAAATAAATAAATAATTCTTTAAAAAAAGAATGCTCCCTAGGAAAAGTTAATACAGAGTCTTTCTTGAAATGATCTTATGACTTAAATGTTCTTCTTTTGTTATTTTTTTCCCTTAAATATTCTCTGTCTTTAATTCACAATGATCAAGCTCCCACAAGGGCCAGGAATTGTTTTAGATGCTGGGATAGATGTCTAGGATATGGTCAAAGAATACAGAGAGCTAAGGAAGTATTCCTTAACACTCTGTCGCTCTTAACCACCATGCCACTTGGTGGCCCCTTAATTCTATTTATTACTGGGGCTGGCAGGTGGTGTGGTAGTTAAGGGCGCTGGACTCCCACATGACCAACTGTGGTTCAAGTTCGGGACCTTATTACTTGCTTTCTCACTCCCCCACCCCTCTCTCTTTCTCTCTTTTTCTCTCTCTCACTCTATCCCTCTCTGGTTAAATTAAAATAAATGAAGATAAGTAAAATAATTTCTTTAAAAAAATTCTATTTTTTATTATTTTCCTTTTTAAAAAGAATTGTTTATTTATTTTACTTTATTTGTTATTATTCGTTTTTATTTTGACCAGAGGAAGAAAAGGAAAGTGACAAAGTAAGTCGCAAGGTCCCAGAGTTGAATCATGGTCTGCCATGTGGGAGTCCAGCACCTTAACTACCATGCCACCTGCTGGTTCCAATTATTATATTTTTCTAATTGTCCATCCTTGAGAAGTTGTCACTTAATTGTTTGTACATTTTTTGCTTCATGACAGCAAATCTTTTTTTTTTTCTTTTTTTTTATTGCCAGAAAGCATGTGCATGCTCATGAGGAGTGAGAGAGAGTGAGAGAGCGAGAGAGAGAGGGAAAGCACCCCTAATGAGCATGGTCACACTGCAGTTCCTTCTCCTCATTTCTCTATCCCATCGGATTTGGAGCAGGGACACACACATACCCCACATGTTTTTCAAGCCTCGAGGGTCAGGATTTGAACACTGTCAGTCATGTGGGAACCTGGCTCCCTGTGCACAGAACACTTAGCCACTGTTCCATGGGTCTGTCCCCATGCCACAAATCTTCATCAGAACAAATGTAGGGACAGATTTTCAAAATATAAGATTAATCTTGATATAAGAAATTAGGAAAATGAATACACCATTTTATAACTGCGAGTCATCTAGTGTATTGTATCCCACATTTAGCAAATTTAAGATAATTTGTTATCTTTGGCCAAAGCACTTATACAGGTGTAGAAGGAAATCTTTGGGGATGGGAGGAGTACTTTGTGCTTGTAGTAGCTCACATTTAATTATTTTTTTCTTGCTTTTTAAAAGGGCATTTATTTTTCTGAGGCAGCTTAGAGGGAAACTCAGTAGACTCTCCCAGAAGGCTAGGGTTGTTTGTCTTGAATTATTTTCTTCCACTTTAGGATTTAAACCGGATGAGAAGTGAATTGCTGGTTCCTGGCTCCCAGCTTGTTTTAGGTCCTCGGGAATCCAAGATACCTATACTTTTGATTCAGCAGCCAGGAAAAGTGACTGGTGACGACCAGCTGGGCTGGGGAAGTGGCTGGGATGTCCTGCTTCCAAAGGGCTGGGGCATGGCTTTCTGGATTCCATTTGTAAGTTGTTTTTTGATTCTGACTAATAGTTGTAGTATTTCCAATAGAATCCTAATAAATATTAAGTGTCAAAAATGTCCCCCATGTTATGCATAACTTAGAAATTGAGTTTTCTTGGGACCAGCAGTTGGCATAATGGCTGTGTTGCTGGACTCCCATGTGGTCAACCACGGTTCGAGTCCCAGATCCAATGGCTTAAACTCACGCCGGGTGCATGTGCGTGTGTACCTGTGCCCAAGATCCCGAAGGGAGAATGGAGGAGAAGGGACTGCGACATGGCCATCCCCAGTGGGGGGTGATTTCTTGCTTTCTGTCTCTCTGTCTGTCTCTGTCTTTCTGGTGAGCGCATGCGCCCTATAGCAAAAACCGCTTCAAAAAAAAGAAAAAAAAAAGAGAAATTGAGTTTTCTTATCCAAAATGCCTGGGAGCCAGAATTGTTTTGGATTTCAGATTTTTTTGGATTTTGGAATATTTACATATTCATAATGCATTATCTTGGGGATAGGACCCAGTCGAAACACACCATTCATTTGTGTTTTATATACACCTAGTGCAAATGGCCTGAAGATAATTTTTTTTCTGATTGCCAGAGGACACTTGCACTTGCCAGACAGAGACAAAGAATGAGAGAGAGACAGGGAGAAAGCACCCCTACCCAGTGGGGCATGGTCATGCTGCAGTCCCTTCTCCATTTCTCCACCCCATTGGGAGTTTGGGTGTGCATGCACATGTACCCTGAGTGTTTTTAAAGCACTGGGGCCAGGCCTCGACCTGGGTCAGTGATGTGGGATCTGGCTCCCTTAATCATAGGCTACAGGGCTGGCTCTGAAGATACTTTATATGGTATTTTGGTTTTGCAGTGTTTTGACTACAGCCTGTCACATGAGCTTAGATGTGGAACTTTCTACTTAATGGCATTTTAGCCCTTAAAAAGATTCCGATTTTGGAGCTTTTCAGATTTGGAATTTTCAGGTTATGGATGCTCAGTATTTGGGGAGCCTGTATATTTCTGCCTTTGGAGCTATAATCCTAGGTAAAAGATACTTCATACACACAGTTCCTGGAGCCAAAGTCTCAGAAATTAAGATCTGTGCTGACAGGTTGTAAATTTTCTAGACTGTTTAAAGAAGATCAGTTTTTTGACTAGTAGTGGCAATGAAATGTTTGTTTTTAAAATAACTGTAACCATATACTCTTTATTTATCAAATTCAGCTAAAAGTTTTATTAAAATCTAATGTTTTCTTTTTTCCGATTAGTTTTTTTTTTTATTTTAGGTTTTTGCCATAGGGCACATGCACTCACTGGAGAGAGACAGAGAGAGGGAAAGCGAGAAATCTTCCCGAGGGGGATGATCATGCCACAGTCCCTTCTCCTCCATTCTCCTTTCAGAATTTTGGGCACATACACACCCGTGCCTAGTCTGATTTTCAAGCTGCCATGTCTGGGACTCAGACCATGGATTGGCATGTGGAAGTCCAGCACTTTAACCACCATGCTATCTGCTGACCCCTCTGATTAGTTTAAATAATACTTTTTGATGTTAGGAGAGCCTAAAAGGTGTCAGACTTTTAGATTCATACATGTAATGAATTTTTAGCCATTATGCCTTGGGCAGGGGACATTTACTTAATCTGTTAGGACTAGTAATCTTTTCTTTTAAAGACTGATTTGTGGGACCACCATATAGCATTATGGTTTTGTTGCTGGACTCCCACATGGTCAACCATGATTCGAGTCCTGGACCCGGCCACTTATAACTCATGCTGGGTGCATGTGGGTGAGTGCCCAAAATCCTGAGAGACAATGAAGGAGAAGGATTGCGGTGTGGCCATCCCCCTGGGGGTGATTTCTCACTGTTTCTTTGCCTCTCTGGTGAGCATGTGCACCCTATAGCAAAAATCTCTCTCTCTCTCTCTCACAAAAAAAGAGAGAATTATTTGTTTGTTTTTATTTATTATTATTGTTTTTTCAGTTTGCTATAGGGTATATGCATTCACCAAAGAAAGAGAGAGAAAAAGAGAGAGAAAGCGAGAAAACAAGCTGCCATGTCCAGGACTCTAACCACGGTTGGCCATGTGGGAGTTCAGGGCCTTAACCACTGTACCACTTGACCATCCTAGGAGTAGTAACATTTTAAAATAATTCTACTTAATATTTTTTTTAAGAGAGATTTTTGCTATAGGGCACGTGTGCTTGCTAGAGAGTCAGAGAGAGACAGAAAGTGAGAAATCACCACCCGGGGCAACAGCTACACCATAATCTCTTCTCCTCCATTCTCTTCTTGGGATCTTGGGCACGCATGCACACGTGTTCAGCCTGAGTTTTAAGTCGCTGGGTCTGGGACTTGAACCACGATCTACTACTAGGGAGTCCAGTGACATAACCATTACAGTATCTGCTGGTCCCTCCTCATAATATTATGAGATGTTTTAAGCATACCAAAAAGAATAAATACGGATATCATGAATGCCCACATATACTCCACCTACTGTCCAGCCTAAGAACTAGCACAGTACTCATCCATTGGAAGTACCCTATGTGTACTCATTCCCGTCTCATTTCCCTCTCCCCTTCTAAGATATTTGAAGTTCTGGGCTAGCGGCTGACAGCTTGAGAAATCACAGTGGGTGCATGTGGGTGTGCCCAGGATCCTGAGGGAGATTGGAGAATAAGGGGTTCCGGTGTGGCCATCCCCTCTGGGGGTGGTGATTACTCACTTGCCCACTCTGTGTTTCTCCTGTGAGTGCATGTGTCCTGTGGCAGAAACCTCGAAAAAAGAGCAAAGGAAATAATCACTATTCTGATTCTGGTAATTGTTACTATCATGCATATTTTTATAGCTTTCATATGTTTGTATCCCACAATAAAATAACTCTCTGAAATGTTTTTAAATGGTGTACCTCACTGTATATGTGTTTTTGCAATTTATCTCCACTTGGCATTGAGATTTTTCCATTTTGGTTGATGAAGCCTGATTTCGTTCATTTTTACTATGGTAAAATAATTTCCCATTTTCCCCATACATACTATGAAGCAATTTGACTTCACTTGGCAAATTGACTGTGCATTTCTGACATTTTTTAGATCTATCGAGGGGCAAGAGTTGGAGGATTAAAAGAGGCTGCGGTCCATTTTCAGTATAAAAGGTCACCTACCGTCCCAGGTGATTTCCCAGACTGCCCAGCGGGGATGCTCTTCGCTGAAGAGCAAGCTAAGGATCTTCTTGAAAAGTACAAAAGGTAAGACAGGCTTCTCCAGTTAGAGAAGAGAAGTGCCAGCGATATTTGGGATGGCGCCATAATGCCTACTTTGTGAGGGGACTTCAGAAAGCTTATGTAAAATGTAATTAACATATGAGTTTACTTTGGTGCAGAAGTTTTTGAAATTCATGCATAGTTTTTTTTTTTTTTTTTTGGAGAGATTTTCACTGTAGGGCGCGTGCGCTCGCCAGACAGACAGAGAGAGACATAGAGACAGAAAGCGAGAAATCACCCCCCAGGGGGGATGGTCACGCCGTAATCCCTTCTCCTCCATTCTCCTCTCGGGATCTTGGGCACGCACGCACACGCGCCCGGTGTGAGTTTTAAGCCACTGGGTCCGGGACGTGAACCGCGGTTGACTACGTGGGAGTCCAGCGACATAGCCGTTACGCTAACTGCTGGTTCCCTAGTTTTGTTTGTTTTTTTAGTGAAAGAGGGCACATGTGTGCACATGAAAGAGTGAGATAGAGAGAAGAGGGAGGGAAGAGAGAGAAATCTCCCCTCATGGGGCTTGTCCTTGCCTCAGCCCTTTCTTTCTTTATTTTGCCATCCCATCAGGATCTTGGGCTCATGTGCATGTGTGTGGCGTGGTTTTCAACTGCTAGGGCTGGGACGGACTGTGGTTGGCTAGGTAGGATCCAGCCCCTCTGCCGTGATTCGTTCCTGTGCTGTGGCTACAGCCTGTGAGCTGTTGCAGTTTAGATTTGTTACAAGGTATGTGTCCTTGCCAAAGAGGTGTGGGAGCAGTGAGAAGTACCCCCAGGAGAAGTGGCCATGCTACAATTCCTTCTCCTCTGTCCTCTCAGATTTTGGCACATGTGCCTGGCATGTTTTTCAAGCTACTGGACTTGAACCACACTATTGGCCCTATGGATCCAGCTGCCTAAATACCATGTCACCTGCTGGCCCCATAGTTTTTAAATAACGTACATTTTTAATGAATTTTTTGAAGACCCCTCGTAGAATGTGGGGTTTTCACAGATTTTTCTTGAGTTCAGCATTACTAAAAAGTAATTAAAAATGTAATGGTTAAGTCAGCAGATTGTTTTTGTATCTCATCTGGCTTTTATAGATTCATCTAGGTTACAGACTTTTCTCTTCTTGACTGTGTTGCTAAATACAGTACACCTCAACTGTGGATATGAATTTTTAGATACTTGTAAATATATTCCCCCTGCCACCCCTACACACACCCAAATGGAGATCGTGTTTTTTGTTAGATTTCCACTGCCACCCCCTATACACACCCAAATGGAGATCGTGTTTTTTGTTAACTGATTATGGAAGTAATACATATAAAATTTTAATGAAATGATGCAAATATTACTATATTAAAATACTTTGCAAACTGGTATAGCCCTGCCATAGAGAGACTGTTTATATTTTAGCATTTGTCCTGCTACACGTTTTTCCTTTCTTTTTTCATTAGAGGTGTTGCCAGTGAGGGGCTTCGTTTCCTTTTTGTTGTGAAGTACATCCTCCCCAGAGTTTCCTTCCACGTCTCAGTACGTGGGTGCACAGACGCGCTCGCTCATTTGCTGGAGCAGCTGCAGTGCCGGGCCAGTGCCGGATGCACAGGAGGCCTCACGAACTTCTGTGTGGTCTGATGGGTGACTCATTCATCACTGAATGTTGTCGTTCCTCGACTGCGAGTCCCATGAGGGCATAACTGTATTTTCCTGTTCCCTGCTGCAACCGCAGAGGCAGGCAAAGTGCCTGGCTTTCACACCCCTTGTCAGGTGATAGGTGATGAGTGAGCAAACGAGTGAGGGCATGAATGGTGATCTAGTCCCGCCTTGTGACCTTACCAGCTCTTCGAGGCTAGCAGTCACATGTTGCTGGCATCCTGTGCCTCCTGTATGTAACCGAAGGTCTTCTATGTGCTTCGTTAATCTTAGGTGACAATAATACGGATTTCTCACTGTTTGTAGACTTTTGCATGCAGATTTTCCATAGATACTAATTAATTTTTAAGAAAAGGATTTTGCTACAAAGACTTTTGAAACTCACAACTTTCATTTACCAATACGTTATAGGTTGTTTTCTCACACCACTAAATATGACTCTGAACCAAATGTTGGCACACTTTTTGGTAGAGGGCCAGATGATAAATACTCTTGGCGTGGTGGAGCCTTTGGATTCCATGGCATCTACTCAGTTCTGCCGTTGCGGTGCAGGAGCAGCCTCAGAGAATGCAAAGCAGCAAGTGCAGCTGCCTCCTAATCCCGTTTTATTTATGGGCGCTCAGATGGGGATCGCATATACTTTTTTTTTAATGATTTATTTAATTTTATTCATTCGTTTATATTTTAATTTGACCAGACACACACACACACACACACACACACACACACACACAGAGAGAGAGAGAGAGAGAGAGAGAGAGAGAGAGAGGGAGAGAGAAGGTGAGAAAGCAAGCCACCAGGTCCAGGACTTGAACCGTGGTCAGCCTTGTGGGAGCATCCAGCACCTTAACCACCACCCCACCTGCTGGTCCCGGATCTCATATACTTTGCATGTGTCATAAAATCCTCTTTTCCCCCTAACCACTGAAAATGTAAAATCCACCTTAACGTATGGGTTGTACAGAAGGAGAGAAGTAGGCCAGGTGCGAGCTCTCGGTCCAAATGTAACTCCGGATGGTGACACAGGATTCTGGTGTGGGTGTCCTACAGTCGTCAGTGGCCTTGTGGGTTGTTCCTGAATTGTCGCTGTGTGCTTCTGCGAACACGTTCCTGTGTATGTGGGGGCATCTTCAAAAAGTTCATGAAAAAATTGCATGGAAAAAATGCATTATTTCAATTTTTTTGTTTTTGTTTTTGGTACAATAAAGAACTCGCGTTTCAATTCCGTTTTCCATAAACTTCTCAAAGTCCCCTCATCTTTTTGTCTGATTTATTCACTGAGTTTTCACATTGATGGTTTAAAGCCTGCTGTCTGTCAGCTCCCATTCCATTATAGGCACCAAGGTTGCAGCAGGGACAAGGCAGAGTCGGTCCCTGTCTTCACGCAGCTTGTGTTCTCAGTGGGCACGTTTCTAGGCCAGTGTGTGTATGCGTGGCAGGGTGGGGAGGGCAGTGGGAGGTGGTGGGGGAGCACCAGGAGGGAGGAGGGACGCTAAAATGCAAGCCTAACGCCTTTGAGCAGGATGGGAGCCAGTGCACACATGGGAGGAGTGGCGCCTGATAGGATTGGGTCCGGTTTTTCCATTTTCATGGTCTGAAGACTGACTCTGAAATCCCAGTGCAGTTAGGCAGGCTAGGCTCTGCACCGGGAGACTAGGTAGCACCTTCCTCGTGGTTTCTGTCTTCGTGAGAAATCAGTGAGGTCATCAGCTGAGAGTACAAAGGGGGAGAGCTGTTGGGAATCTGAAGAGAGAGGAATTGATGGAGACAGTTTTCAGGGAGAGCAGGTCGGATTCACTGAGGCAATATGAGAGCTTAGTAAGAAATGCAGGAGAGGGTCCCCTTGAGTGTTGCATCTGTTATATAAAGTAAGGCATTTAGGACTGTCGTGTGTTCTTTCCCAGCTGTGTTCTGCCAGTCAGGTGCTGGCGGGGGTCACTGGGGAGTCCTGCAACCAGGATGGGCTTTTCCAGGTGGAGGGAGTTGAAAGGAAGTGTAGGGAGGACTGCGTAGGAACCGTGGGAGAGTGCTGATGAGCAGCCAGGAGATGGCATTTGTAAATAGGAGGGTCTGGTGGCTGAGGAATGGTTGCCAGGGAGGGTAAGTGGGCTGGAACTGTAGGAGGCCTGGATCTGAGCCACACACTTGCACTGAGATCTGAAGGTGGACAGGGTGTTGGCAATGACCAAACTTAAGGTATAACCAGGAGAGTGGGGGCTTGAGGTGAGGTGAAGTGAGAGATGGTAAATGGGCCAGGATATTCAAAAGATGGTTTATGTAGATACTGAAGCCAGTAGGAATGAGGACAAGAGTTGGGGGGTAAAGGGGAGGACAGTGCTGCAGGGAACAGGGACACTGCAGGGATCGTGTTCCTGGAAGGTTGAGAGAGAGGACCTGGTCATCGAGGGAGAGCCAGTGTCTTAGCAGTGGTGTGTGCTCGAGGGTGGAGGCTTGAAGGAGGTGGGAGGCTGGACCCGTCTGCCCACCAAGGGCTGGAGGGGCTTCAGGGCGGAAAGCACAGCTCTTAGGCTAAATCTCCACGAGCAAGGTTATGATTTATAGAAAGACGTGCATTTCCAGGCCTTTAGTGTACTGATTGAGGTTAGCTTTCCATGAAGTTATGAGGCCACCTGCCAGTATTTCCCCTCACTCTCACCAACACAAGCTGTGACCAGTCTTTTTTTCTTTTCTTTTTTTTTTTTTTTTGAGAGAGGTTTTTATTATAGGGCGTGTGCACTCACCAGACAGAGACAGACAGAGAGATAGAAAGTGAGAAATCACCCCCAGGGGGGATGGCAATGCCTCAATCCCTTCTCCTCCATCCTCCTCTCGGGATCTTGGGCACGCACGCACACGTACCCAGTGTGAGTTTAAGCCACTGGGTCTGGGACTCGAACCACAGTTGACTATGTGGGAGTCCAGCGATATAGCCATTATGCTAACTGCTGGTCCCTGACCAGTCTTTTTTTAAAATCATCACCAGAGGGGCACATGTGCTCACCAGAGAAAAGGAAGGTAGGGAGGAAGCACCCCTACCTTGGCCATGGAGCATGATCACGACACAATTCCTTCTCCATTTCTCTATCTTGTTGGGATTTGGGGCATGTACACGCATATGCCTAGCATGTTTTTCAAACTTCCAGGGCAGGGATTTGAACTGTGCAGTCACCTCTGTGGGACCCTGCTCCCTTAACCATTAGGCCACAGGGCCCACCCTTTATAATTTACTTACCTTGAACGAGGAATTGCTTCCACATCTATAGATTTTCCTTCATTCCTTCCTTTCTTTTTTTAAAGGTTTTTATTCCATAGGGTGTGTATGCTAGCTGAAGAGGAGAGGGACAGAGACAATGAGAGGGAAAGTGAGAAATCACCCTCCCCCCCAGGGGAATGGCCACACTGCAATCCCTTCTCCTCCTGGGATTTTGGGCATACACGCACGCACATGTGCCCGGTGTGAGTTTCAAGCCTCCAGGTCCAGGACTTGAACTGTGGTCAGCCATGTGGGAGTCCAGCACCTTAACCATCATGCCACCAACTAGCCCTTAATATTTTTAAGCTTCAGAAGAGTATAATTTTCAAGTCATACTTTTTTGTACCATTTATTCCACATGGATCTATAAAATCCAAAGAGGTTGTAAGAGTCTGCGTTCTGCTGCCCCAGGTCGCAGTTCTATATATGTGGTGTTTTCTAGTCAGAGGATTGACTTGACATCCATGGCCCAGCTGTGGTGGCATAGCAGCAGCAAGGTAGTGTTCTCTGCAGTGTGAGAAGCTATATAGAAGGGGCAGCAGGTGGCATGGTGGTTGGGGCACCGGATTCCCACATGGCTGACTGCAGTTCGAGTCCCAGACCTGGCAGCTTGCTTTCTCACTTTCCCTCTCTCTTTGTCTCTCTCTGGTGAGCTCATGTGACTTATAGCAAATTAAATGATAATAATAATAGATAAAATAATAATAATAATATAAAGACTACATTTTAAAAAGGAGAGAGAGCTATAGCCATGTAGAAGACTGGGCCAATCTCGGTCCACTTGTACTTGCTATGCACATGTGCCCTGATCCTGGCTGTTTGGAAGGTGGGTGGGGATCATGGCGTGAGACTCTGTTATTGGTTCTTGTCCCCTTCTCTCTCTGTTTCTCTCGTGAATAAAAGGAAGAAAGAGACTTAAAGAAATAGGTACACAGTTATCTCTGGATTTTGGAAGGTCGCTGGGTAAGGCTAGTACTCTGGGAGTGGGTTTTGTCAGTTGCCTCAGTGAGGAGGCCAACACACATCTGGTTTGACCCCAGGAGTGTAGGCTCAGGGTGAACCCCCTGTGAAGCCCACTGCTTTATTTCTATTAAAGGTCCTAGGACACAGCACGTAGTAAGAAGTAAGTGAGGGAAGGAAGGATGGGCCCCAGGATCGACCACTGAGGACGCGGTCTTGGAGAGTCCTCCGAGCCCAGTGATCAACGGCCTTGCTGATCCCCCAGGTCAGGGCCTGGTTTTCACTCACTCACGTATTTCTCAAAGGTCCTACCTCATTTACATGTCGTTGGAAAAGCCAGTTGGTATCACTCACAGGAGGGCAGTTGGGAGATGTGAGTATTGCAGATGGGGATGCTCCGTGCCTTCGCAGTTCCCTCCCAGGAACCGGTCCTGTGGTTACACTTGTGTGTGTGCACATTCAAGGCCGTTCGTTGCAGCATTGCTTGTGAGAGCAAAGCTTGAAAATAACCAAAATCTCCTTCCATAGAGGACTGGCCAAATATCTTAGCGTGTTTTCCTATGGTGGGAGAAAATACATAGAGCTTTATGAAAGAACGAGGGAGCTTTTGATGTGCTGATATAAAACAAAACATCTTAGAGATGTTTTGTTAAGTGAAAAAAAAGTGAAATTAAGCAAAAGAACCGTATCTTGTATGCTAGATACTGTTTGTATGAAAATGAGAAAAAGGAAATCTGCTTGTATGTATGTAGAATTTCTCTGGAAGGATGAAAGAAATTAACAATGATACAGTCTTTGTGGAGGGCTGGGAGTCAAGAGTGAGCGAGAACCTTCCCTGCAGCCTCGAACTTAGAACCTTGTAAATGTTACAGGAACGTCATTGCACAACTCTGGGGTACCACTTACTCGGAGTTCCCTGGGCTGTTTAGTGACCACGTGGGGCTTCATTGTAGATGCATCCTCTATGGTCTTTAGACCAAAGAAAGCAGAAAGAAGGTTGGCTTACGGAGCTGGTTGTTATTCTCTATCATACATTTCTTAGAAAGGTTGTATTTTTTGGTTTTGCTTTGTACCTCAAATATATGTGTGGCATATATATTTTAATCAGTAGAGTACATGAAACAGAAAGAAGTAAACTCCACAGAGCTTGACACTCTGTGATCCCTTTTCTCCAGCACACCAGGACCCTGGGCACCAGTGTGTTTTCAGACTGACTGGGCTGGGGACTCACACTGCAGTCAGCATGTGGCTTCCAGCTCTGCAGTCCAGCACCTTCCCAACTATGCCACAGAGGCTAAGCTGTTTTTAAAATGGAGAAAGGTGGGGACCAGCAGATGGCCTAATGGTTATGTTGCTGGACTCCCACAGTTAACTGTGGTTCGAGTCTTGAACCCGGCAGCTTAAAACTCATGCCAGGCGCATATGCATGTGTGCTCAAAATCCCAAGAGGAGAATGGAGGAGAAGGGATTGCAGTGTGGCCATCCCCCGGGGGAGTGATTTCTGTTTCTGTCTCTCAGTCTCTCCAGTGAGTGTACTCACCCTATAGCAAAAATCTCTCTTAAAAAAAAAAGAGAGAAAGATACATTGTAGTAGCTACAGTTATTTTAATTGTCCAATCCTAAAGTGTTCAAAGTTGGCTTTCTTCTTTGTTTTTCATTAGACGCCCTCCTGCCAAACGTCCCAACTATGTTAAGCTTGGCACGCTGGCTCCTTTTTGCTATCCCTGGGAGCAGTTAACTCAAGACTGGGAGTCAAGAGGCCAGGCCCGAGATGAATGTTCTGTAGTTTCTTTACCAAATGGTGAGGAGAGTGACTTAAGAGGGTACGAGGTGCCTTGTACTCCCACGCCTGGAAGAACACAGCGTCCATCTGATAAAGTGGGTACATCCATCCATGGCCTCAGGCAGCTAGAAGAGGTAATGGACACCGAGTGTCAAGAGCAGGCAGGGACCAAGAGGACAGTGGACCAGGGTGCTGGTGAGGGTCACGCTGCTGCCACTGGTCGTCACCTCTGTGTTCTGAGGTAAGTGTTGGTTTCCAGATGCGTTTTGGATTGATTAATATTGAATGCACTAGGGGATGTATAAGTTGTCACTTGATGTGAATTTATGGACTTTCTGGAAGGGAAAGCCTGTCCTTTGATATTTCATACTAACTAATAAAATGATTGAAAATATCGTTATCAATAGACCTAAAACCAAGGCAGTTTTTTCCTTCAGTCTATTGCATTAAGCCTTACAGAGCGGCACCCTCGCGAGTGTGATCTGCGGTGAAGAGGCTCTGTGTACTCCGAGCAGCCATTCTTTGCTCTAACTCACAGGATTAGATTTCTTCTAGTTCCTACTGGAGTCTGTGAGTCTGTGGTGATTAGCACCGCAGTCATCGAGGCCGCTGAATACTCTTCTCTCAGTATTGCTGAAGGCTGAAGGTGGTTGTGCTTACCAGCTACCCTAGTGTCTGTGCTGATTCTCAAAAAATACTCACCCTCTTGTTTCATTTTTCTGTACAGAAACCTCACTATTTCACGTCCTTCTTTCTGACTTTAGATATCGTTGTCCCGTCAAGTGTCTTTTCTTTCAAAGTATCAGCTCCTGTTTACTCTCATCCTCTCACTGTGATGACAACCCTAGATTCTATCCTTATTTCTCTCTGCCTTCAACTGCTTAAACCGTTAGTCCTTCTGTTTTAGGGAGGTAGACACTTACAAAGAAAAATACCATTGCTGAAAAGTGCTAATTGCCATAGGACACACGTGCTTGCAAGAGACAGAGAGGGAGAAAGCACCCTTTATTGGGCTGTGGTCATGCTGCAGTTTCTTCTCCATTTTTCATCCTGTCAGGATTTTGGGCACACATACACATGTGCCTGGTGTGTTTTTCAAGCTTCCAAGGACTGGAATTGGAATTGCGGTCAACCATGTGGGATCCAGCTCCCTTAGCCACCAGGTTGTGGGGCCAGCCCAGTGTGTATTTTTAATCTCTAGAATAATATAGCTTTGATACTTTACCACATATAATATTTTAAAAAAATCAAACTAACTCTAGCAATGCCTAATCTTCTAATTGCATATTTTTTCCTTAAACAAAATATCCTCAAATACGTATCTCTGACCTCATGTAGGAGTAGGACAGTACTGAAGCAGCTGTCAGCCTGGTGCAGGCCCGGTTCTGAGGACAGTCAGGGAGTGCGGCGAGCTCCCGGCAGAGTCCCGCAGGACTTGACCAGAGAGGCCTGCCTGTCCATCCTGGCCCACTTCCCCAGGGCCCTGGTGTGGGTCAGCCTGTCCCTGCTCAGGAAGGGCAGCCCCGAGCCACACTCCATGATCTGTGTCCCAGCCGAAGAGGACTTACTCCAGCTCCGTCAGGATCGCCACTACCCTGGGCCCCAGGAATCCAAACACAGCGACCCTTTCAAGAACAAGATCCTGAAAGAGAAGGAGAAGAAGAAAATGGAGAAGAGGCAGCACCGAGGATGCGAGGCTTCTGAGGGTCTGGCAGAGGGTCCTTCTGGCGGGCGAGAAACTCTGACACGGGGGTTATGGGCAGGCCCACTCCCACAGGTCACCTCACACTGCTCCAGAGTGCTGCTGGGCTTCGTCACTCAGGGAGATTTTTCCATGGCTGTCGGCTCTGGCGAGGGCCTGGGCTTCATTAGTTTGACAGGCTTGCTGGATGTGCTGTCCCACCAGCCGGCGGCCCAGCGGGGGCTCGTGTTACTGAGGCCGCCGGCCTCTCTGCAGTACCGATTCGCCAGAATTGCTATTGAGGTGTGAATACGAGTTTATGTCCCCCCAGGTCACAGACGATCACTGTGTTTGCCAAGTCTGACCATTGGAGAGTCTTGCTTTCTTTGTCTTTTGTTTCAAAATACCATGCAAGATTCTTTGGAAACAAGAACAAACACGATGACTTGTGCAAAGGATGAAATATTGCCGTCATTCCAGTAGTCTCGTTGGTTTCTATCTTCCCTTGTCCTTGCTGTAATACTTTAAAATGATTTGGCATGGATAGACAAAAGCTTTTGTATTACGATCACTTGGCCTGTGTAAGTGTTGCTGAAAATAATTACAAGCTCCACGCTTTATTGTCCTCTTTTCTTGTTACGATAAAAGGGCTGTCAGGTCTAATTTGAAAAACATCTTGGTCGTCTGATAAGCAACAATGATGTTTAATAATTTACTTACCACAGAAGAGCAAAGACTGACACGTGGGCCCCAGGATGGGTCACGTTCGATTCTGTACTGTAATAAACAATGCTGAATGCCTTACGCCATAAAAAAATCATGGACAACTTACTGCGGCCTTTTCCAGTCACACTCAGCTTACGGCCAGCATGGTAGGCTGGAATTAGAATGGAGGTCCGTGACTTGGTGACCTCTTATTGACTCGCACAAGATACTAGGAATTACTTATTTTAAGTAAAAATATTAGTATTTTTTGTTTCTGCAAAGAATTTCTCAAAGCCATAGAAGAGAATTTCTCATAATATGTTTTGTGAAACGTGTTACCTAAAAGGGGGGATCAAAGGCCAAGTTGATACAGGAGACTCTGCAGAGTTAAGCATTTCTTTCTTAAAGGGCTTCTGGAACCTTCCATGTGATACTGTGCATTGTGGCTCTCCAGGACGTAGATAAGCGTGTGCAGTGTTTTCTGTCTTGTTGATCCTCAAACTCCCTTTACGAGGATGACTTCGTAAGATCAGTGTTCTCAGGAACACACTTCGGGCAGTGCGGCCGTGCAGTGCAGTGGCTACCTCTGTGAGAAATGACTCCAACTCAAACTGCTCTTCCACACTCCTGCAGTCACACTGTCCCCCCACGGGGGGGTGGGGGAGCAAAGGTCTCGTCCTCTCCCATAGGAAGGTGGGACCACCATTGCTGCTTTGTTCTGTGCAGGAACTTGGCCCGTCGCGTTTAGTTGCCCGAATGTCTCACACATACCTTCGATCACTTCCCTGCCGTGCATTTCTAGCTGAGTGTGAGTGGGATTTCTTTGTCTTTTAATTTAAATGTGTGTTTGGGCGTATTTCATGGAAGTGTGTTGGGTTTTATAGACGAGTTTGGGATGATGAATTGGGGAAAGATACAGCATCTACCGCGGTGGTCAGAAAGTACCTGGAGCCGATGAACGTCTGATGCTTTTGTCTCTCACTATGCATCTCTCTGTGTCCGACCTAAATGAAGCTGAAAAGTAGAGTAACTCGATGTTGTCTATAGACAGAATAAACAAAAATGTCACCGGGTGTGAGTTATTTTTAATTTGTTTTAGATTTTGGCCACAAAATATGTATGATTGCCAGAGAGAGGGACAGAAAGATACAGGGGAAGTGATAAGTCATCCCCAAGGGGCGGTGGCCATACTACAGCCCCTTCTCCTGTCGGAATGTTGGGCATGCACGCACATACACCTGGCATAGTTTTCAAGCCTGTGGGTGGAGATTTGAACCACAGAGTTGGCCATGTGGGGGTCTAGTGTCTTAACAACCATGCCACATGCTAGCCCTAGTTGGGAATTTTTTTTTTTTTTTGATAGAAGTTTTTGCCTTAGGTGTGTGCGCTTGCCAGAGAGAGAGAGAGAGAGACAGTGAAAGGAAAAGTGAGAAATCACTCCCCCCTTGGGGGTGGGATGGCCATGCCACAATCCCTTCTGCATCCTTCTCCTGCAATCTTGGGCACATGCACACATGCACCTGGCTTAAGTTTCAAGCATCCAGGTCTGGGACTTGAACCGTGGTCGGCCATGTGGGAGTTCAGCTACGTAACTGCCATGCCATCTGCTGCTTCCCCAGATGGGAATTTATATTGGACCTTTTTTCATTTATTTTCTGGGCTGCAAGCTACTTCATCAGTGACTTAGTTCACGTAACGAAGCCTCAGTGTGCTGCGTGGTCACTGACCCTCATCCTGCATAGTGCCCTGCCTGAGACCCGCTGCCCTGCCTTCTGTACAGAGGCAGGGCGGGGGCTTTTGAGGAGCAGGTCAAAAGGCTCTGCACTGAAAAGATCAACTCTCATTTCTCAAAATATATCCCTGAGAGCACTCGTCCCTGGAGCTGTTCCCTGGGGAGAAGTGTCTCGTGGCCAGATTGGGGAAAAGCTGTACTATAGGGCGCCCTCCTGTTGTACCTTCACCGTGAATGCTAGAAAGTTCTGCAGATCTCTGCAGAAAAGACGTCTGTTCTTTCATGTCTCCCACCCCAGACACACCATTTGTTTTGTTTTGTTTCATACCCGTTCTCTAGAGAATAGTAGTTTTGTGGAATACACTTTGAAAACCTGCAGGATCTGCACATATGTAGTAAAGAGTTCATGTGCCTTCTGAGAAAGACCCATGGGCATGGCTGTCCTATAGCAGTTGAGCTGCTGGTGGGTTTACTTAGGTCCTCCCAAGTGCCTGCTGCACTGCTCTAGAATCACATAGCTCCCAAATAAGTACGCCATGGCCCTCGTCCTCTTGTTAAGCGGGTAATGCTTTCAGGTTCCACAGAGTCAGGAAGTGTCCTAAAGCAGAGTTTTGAGAAGAAGACTAGAAAACCAGCTACACAAGACTGAATGTTTTTTTTCTTCAGAGAGATTTGCCATAGGGTGTGTGTACTCCCCGGAGAGACAGAAAGTGAGAAACTACCACCCCCTGCCAGGGGTAATGACCACACCACAATCCCTTCTTCATTCTTCTCTCGGGATTTTGGAGGGGTTTTGTATTTTTGTTTTGTTTTATGGTTTTTTTTTTTTTTTTTGCTACAGGGCACGTGCACTCGCCAGAGAGACAGAGAGACAGCGAGAAATCATCCCCCATGCCACAATCCCTTCCCCTCCATTCTCTTGGAATCTTGGGCATGCATGCACACACGCCCGGCGTGAGTTTAAGCCACCGGGTCCGGGAATCGAACTGTGGTTGACTACATGGGAGTCCAGCGACATAGCCAATACACTAACTGCTGGTTCCTTCTCTTGGGATTTTGGACACGTATGCACACGCACCTGCTGTGAGTTTCAAGCCACCAGGTCTGGTACTTGAACTGTGGTCAACCACATGGGAGTCCAGTGTCTTAACTGCTATGCCACCTGCTGGCCCCACAAGAACAAAATTGAAATCACCTGGACTTTCACCATCCAGTTATTTGATCAGCCCGTCACTTTTCTGGAACACGTCCTAAGTGCTAAGATGTATATGGATGCATTTCTTTTTAATGCCTTACTGCCTTCCAATGAAACTCAAATGATCGATAAAAAAACAAAACCAAAAAAATCCAAGCCAGCCTGTGGCGTGGTGGTGAAGGCATCCATCCCACCTGGCCAATTGTGCAGTTTCAACCCAGATGCCAGATGCATGTGAGTACAAGCCCAAAATCCTGAAAGGAGGGACAGATGGGGAAGGGATTCCAGCATGACCATCCTGCTGGGGAGGTTTGCTTTCTCACTTTCTCTTTCCCCAGCAAGCACATGCACCCTCTGACCAATTGAGTGGGGGGAACAAAAGGACCTTAGATAATTAAATTTAATGGAGTTTAATTGAACAAAGAACAAATAGATTTGTGTATTGGGGAGCCTCAGAACCAGAACAGGGCCAGCCCGCAACGTGTCCAGGCAGCATTTACAAGTGAGGTACAAGGTCGCCTTATTCGAGTCTGCTGGCTGCCCTGACTGATGCGCTCAGCTGCTGTATTGACTGAGAGCTGTTACGAGAGGTTCCTCCGAGGTAGGCCATCAGTTCACAATCAAGTGAGGCTGCACTTCGCATAAGGCCTCGGCTGCAGAGGCATCGTCCTTCCAACTTCAGTTTCACACTTACCAGGGTCAATCATTGCTTAAATAACCTATGCAACGTGCATACAGCTCCAAGTGTGTGCTGTCTGTTCCTTGTGGAGCTGGATTCACAGGGCCCCTCATGTTCATACTGATTGGAAGTAGGGATTGGTAATCGTTGCCCACCAGGTACTAAGTGGAGTGTTGATGGCTTTGTGGACTCCCTACTAGTCCTAACTGATCTTCTAGGGCCAGTCAACTGGCGCCTGGGAAGCTCCGAGCTAAGTCCAGGACCGGGTTGCTTAGAGACCACACAAAAACTGGAGCACCTGTGGGTTGCTCAGTAGCAGCCTCAGGGCCACAGTGGTTCTGGTGACAGCAGGGCTCTCTGGAACACGGAAAACCATAGTGCCATCTTTGGGAATAGTGGCTTTTAAGTCACTGCCCTACATCCCTGCCTCCAGGGGGGATGGGCACACTGCAATCCCTTTTCCATTCTCCTCTCGGGATTTCAGGCACACACATGCCTGGCCTGTTTCAAGCTGCTGAGTCTGGGACTTGAACTGCAGTCAACATGTGGGAGTCCAGTGCCTTAACCACTGTGCCACCTGCTGGGTAGCTCCAATATTTCTTAAAAGTTCCTCAGGCCGTTGTGCAGCTTAGGCTGAGCACCATCGCTTTAGGGCCCTTTGCACCTCGGGGCAGCGTGAGTAACGTGGAAACCTTATAGCTCGTGCCTTTAGCAGGCCTGCTTGCCAGGGTGAAAAACCATGTTTCTGCAGCATCAGCACACAGGGCCGTTGACCACGTTGTAAGGCGAATAGGTGGGAACTTAAAGAGCACAGCGTTGGGGCTGCCCCCGGGGAGGAGGCCTGGTAGAGAAAAGTAGCAGCCTGCTCCTCCCTCGTGTCACCCTCACTACTTGAGAGTACCCAGTGAAATCTTTTTTTGGTTTCCTTTGGGTTCGTACCTTTCCAGAGTGGCTGTTAGCTGTATGCTGGGATGCCTTAGAGCCCACCTTTTGGGGGCCTGGGCTTAACAGCTCAGGGATGTGGCCAGACATGGGTTCCTTTTTAAAAAAATTTTTTGGAGAGGTTTTTTTGCTGTAGGGTGCATGCACTTTCCAGAAAGACAAAGATAGACAGATATTGAGAAATCACCCCCTGGGGGGGGGATGGCCACACCACAATCCCTTCTCCATTCTTCTCTTGGGATCTTGGGCACACATGCACACGCACCTGGCATGAGTTTAAGCCACTGGGGATCCGAGATTTGAACCGTGGTCAACTACATGGAGTCCAGTGACATAGCCATTATGCCAACTGCTGGTCCTTTTTTTTTTTTTTTTTTTTAAGTTACTTAATTTTATTATTTGAATTTGCTACATGTACTCACCAGACAGGGGAAGTGAGAAGGCAAGTGAAACACAGTTGCCCATGTGGGAGTCCAGCGCCTTAACCACTGTGCCACTTGCTGGCTCTGACACTGGAGTTTTTAAAAATCCCCAGATGATTTGTAGTCAAGGCTAAGAACCACTGTTCCAGACTTTTTTTTTTTTTTTTTTTTTTTTAAGATTTTTGCCATAGGGCTTGTTCACTCCCCAGAGAGACAGTGAGAGAGAGAGAAATCAACCTCTAGGGGGGATGACCACCACGCAGTCTTCTCATCCATTGTCCTCTCGGGATTTTGGGCAAGCACACACACATTGCCAGAGTGATTTTCAAGCCACCGGGTCTGGGACTTGAACCGTGGTTGGCCTTGTGGGAGTTTATCGTCTTAACCACTAAACCACCCGCTGGCCCCAACTGTTACAGACTTTTAAAATGAGATTTGGGGACCAGCAGATGAACTCCCATGTAGTTGACCGCAGTTCAAGTCCCTGACCTGGTGGCTTAACTCATGCCGGAGGCATGTGCTTGCTTGCCTAAGATCCTGAGAGGAGAGGAGAGGAGAGGAGAAGGGGTTGCAGTGTGGCCATCCCCCCAGGGGGTGATTTCTTATTTTCTGTCTCTCTCTGTCTCTGGCGTGCGCACGTGCCTTATAGCGAAATCTCTCTAAAATAAATAAATAAAAATTTTAAAAAAAGGTGAGATTCCAGTATAATTAGCCAAAGACAGAGCTGATCAGTAATGGGGAGCCAGGCAGGGCAGGAGCAGATAGCAGCCAGCCAGAGTGGGACCCAGGGCTGCTTCTGATGTCCCTGCTTGGAGGTCCTGAGCCCAACAGATGGCCAAGTTCATGTCAAGGCATTCCCCCTCTCCCCTTTTTGAAAGGTTAGCGGCTCGGTGGTGACGCAGCGGTAAGACACAATGCTCTGTGAAGCTGACCCACACGGGAAAGTTGCCAGTTCAAGTCTGGAGACCTCACTGAGTACGCTGGGCACTCCTGTGTCCGTCCCCTGGCTGCTTGAAGCTGGAGGTGGACTATGGCCTCAACACCATGGGGTGGGGGGCTTTGTGTGTGTCTGTCTCTTTCTGTTTATTTCATTCATGGAATAA